GTCCATCTGAGTGAACACACCCTGGTCCAAGCCAGCCTCCTCACTTCCCGGACGACGGAGCCAGCGGTGCCCCTCTCTGCTGCAGCCAAAGTGATCACGTACTTATGAGATCTAAGTTGAAACTCTTCCTCCCCTCCTCCCTCACTTCCGTTCATTTTTTAACTTTTTGGGTTTTTTTTTCAGATGGAGTCTCACTGTGTCACCCAGGCTGGAGTACGCTGGCGTGATCTTAGCTCACTGCAACCTCCACCTCCTGGGTTCAGCTATTCTCCTGCCTCAGCCTCTTGAGTAGCTGGGATTACAGGCACCCGCCGCCATGCCTGGCTAATTTTTGTGTTTTTAGTTCAGATGGGGCTCTGCCATGGTGGCCAGGCTGGTCTCAAACTCCTGACCTCAAATGATCCACCCACCTCGGCATGAGCCGCTGTCCCCGGCCTCTTTTAACTTTTGATGATGGAAATTTCTAAACCACACAAACATGGAGAGAGTGGGAAACAGAGTGACCCCATCAGCCATCCTGGATGGCCGGCAGCCACCTGTGTCTTGTGGCATGCTTACCCAGCCCCCTTCTCCTGGTACGGAAGCATTTTAAAGCACGTCTCAGATAGCCTGAGACTTCATCCTCAAGCAACAGAATAATCTTTCAAACTCTGAACTGGATAACGTGACTCCCCTGTGCATTCTTGGGCTCGCCCCACTCCTCCCCCGCTGCTGTCCCCTGGCCTCGGCCTATCTCTCCCACTCTCCTCGCACTTGTGGCCTTGGATCTGACCTGGAGGCTCTGCACTGCTGCCCTCTCTGCCTGGATCCCGCATTTCCTTGGTGTTTCATCTTCGTTTTTACTTCAAACGTTTGGATTTTGTTTCCTGCTCACAGTGGGAGGCCATCAGAGGGAGCTGTTCAGGGGAGTGTTAGGAGCTGAGTCGTGTTTTTAAAATATCCTCTGGCTGCTGTGCGGAGGACGAGTCGGGCTGGCGTGGGGAGCAGGAAGACTGTAACAACAAAGTGTTCAATGACAGCGCACGTAGTCCCTGTTCAAAAACGTATCGGCTCTTGTCAGTCACTGCGCTGGATCGTGAAGCAAAGTTGTAGATACAGAAATTGTGGCTGAGTGTGGACATGGTTTGTCCCAACTAACCCAGCTGGTCGGTTCTGGGACGGAGGCCCCCGGGGGGCTGCCTGGGAGTTTACTGCATTCCCCGTACTGGTGGATTCCTTCTGGTGGGAGACAGTTACAGGCACAAATGTTCTAATTCCACCTAAAACAATCCATCCCAAAGTGGGAGCCGAGCCCCCGGCCTGGAACAACTGAGGAGGGCCAGAGTTCTCCGGTGTGGAGTAACCAGAAGGCTCCCTGGTGTCAGGGGAGCACACTAGGGGGTTTCCACCTGCAAACAAGGAGTGATAGGCTCGGGGGCAGGAGGGTGGGAGGGGGTCTCTGGCCAAGGCCAGCAGCAGGGCTGGTGAAGAAGGCTGGGAGGGGCTGGGCACAGTGGCTCACGCCTGTAATCCCAGCACTTTGGAAGGCCGAGGTGGGCAGATCACCTGAGGTCAGGAGTTGGAGACCAGCCTGGCCAACATGGTGAAACCCCATCTCTACTAAAAATACAAAAAATTAGCCTGCAGTGGTGGCTCACAGCTGTAATCCTAGCTACTCGGGAGACTGAGAATCGCTTGAATCTGGGAGGCGGAGGTTGCAGTGAGCCGAGATTGTGCCATTGCACTCCAGCCTGGGCAACAAGAAACTCCGTCTCAAAAAAAAAAAAAAAAAAAAAAAGAAGACGACGCAGGGAGCCTCGTCTACCACCAGGGGGAGCCCTTGGACTTCCTCCTCTGGGAGATGCGGGGCTGCCCCTAGAGAAGCTGGCTGGCTTTTGTCTGGCTGCTGAGGCTCTCAGGACTTTGAAGCCGCGTGCTCCGGAGCCACGCGCAAAATTTGCAGGCAGAACAGACAGACCCGGTGAGAATCCTGTGCTGCCATTGATTGGTGGATGACCTTGGCCAAGCAACTTGGCCTTTCTGTGCCTCAGTTTCCTCACCGTGAAAGGAAGAGAGCTCCTTTTGGGTCCAAGCCCCGAATCGGACTCTCACTTCTGTTTGGCCTTCTGGCACGTTCCATGCGGACTCTCACCCATCAGTTAGGGACTGCATACCTCCTGTGTGTCAGTGCTGCACCAGGCCCTGGGTCAGCCACCGCTGCCCCTGCCACAGGAACAGAAAGCCTGAAGGCAGGGCTCCCAGCTCTCTACACTCCTCAGAGTGTAGAGACAGCCCACCTGTCACCTTCATTGTGTTCTTCAGGAGGCAGGGTCTCACCCACCGCACTGCGGGCTCCTGGGCCACCTCATCTCTGAATCCCCGGTGGGCTGGCAAACAGTAGGTGTTCACTAGGCACTTGATAAATAGAGTTGAATGGCACATTGTGTAAGCCAGGACAGCACCTGGCTTACCTTGCAGTCTGGTGGCCTCCAAGGCAGGGAAGTGACAGCCTGGGACCCCTGAATTTGGACAGGTCTGTGATGGAGGCACCTTGGCGAGGCGCTTCACAGGGGCTGCAGTGGGCCTGCAGTGCTGCGCAGAGAAATGTGGGGCTTTGGGCAGGGGCAAGTGTGGTCAGGTTGGTGTTTTGAGGGTACCTTGCTACAGGGTGGAAGATAGATGTGCCAGGCTGTCTGGGAGCAGAGTGGGCAGGCAGTTGGTGGCAGGGCCCAAGGCCCAAGCAGCAGCTGGGGTCAGGACAGGTGAAGCGGCCGGAGTACAGAAACATTAAGGATGGTCGACTGGACTCAGGGAGAAGCATTTTCTGGTAGCCCACGTGGGGATGCCATTAGGTACAGGGAGGACCCCTGGGGCCAAACACACTCCTGGGGGCTGACGCTGAGCTCGGCCTTGGATGCTCAGTTTGAGGCACCTGTGATCCAGGAGAAACACTGTCCAAGAGAGAACAATGGCAGGGGGTTTGGAATAGGACCCCCAAGGATGGAGGAGGGGGTCACACCCCGAATCCCAGCACTTTGGGAGGCAGAGGTGGGTGGATCACTTGAAGTCAGGAGTTTGAGACCAGCCTGGCCAACAAGGCAAAATCCCGTCTCTACTAAAAATACAAAAATTAGCCAGGCGTGGTCATGTGTACCCGTAATCCCGGCCACTTAGGAGGCTGAAGCAGAATCATTTGAACCCAGGAGGCAGAGGCTACGCTGAGGTGAGATTGCGTCACTGCACTCCAGCCTGGGCAATAGAGCAAGATTCTGTCAAAAAATAAAAAATAAAAAAAAGAATTGGGGCCCTGGTGGGCGGGGTAACTAGCCGACGCTGTGGATCCCTGTGGCCTATTCCCTGGATGTAGAGGTGCCCAGCAGAGGCCCTTGGTGTTTCTCCAACCTCGGAAATGGTTTGGGAGTTTACTGTCTTACCCTCTGACATCCTTTTTGGAGCAGGTGAATTCACATGAGAAGCTGGACACTCAGACCCAGCCCAGGATGATCTCAGTGAGCGGGGGACTGGATATTCCGGACAAAGACCGGCTCTCCCTCAGCGCCAGGTGGTTGAGAAGCCACAGCCAACTCGGTGACCCTTTTTGGGTGGGGCCCCACACTGCCATGTTTAGAACGTATGCTGCTCTGTCCCTCCCCATTTCCCAGAGGAAGAATCTGAGCTGCAGAACATTCCATCGCTTGCTCCAGATCTCAGCAGCTGCAGACCTGGCCTGACAACATGGCCTTGCAGGAAGCCCTGGCCACGTGTGGCCCATCAGCTCTTGTTGCCTTCGGCAGGTGGGCAGATGAAGGACGGAAGGCCAAGCTCAGGCTGGGCAGGTGGTAAAGAAACCTAGTTAGACAAAGAACTGGGACTCTAGGACCAGGGTTCAATCCTGACTCTGGCCTTCTGGGGGTGACTTTACTTGGTGCTTCAGTGGTCCCATCTTCAAAATGGAGATTGTTGTGCTGATCTCTAGGGCTGAGGCAATGCGACAGTCACACATGTACAGCAGGTTATACTCACGCAGTGGTTACACACACACACAGCAGGTCACACATGTGCAGAGGGTTACACACACAACAGGTTACACTCACGCAGCAGGTTACACACACGCAGTGGGTTATACTCACACAGCAGGTCACACACACGCAGTGGGTTATACTCACACAGCAGGTCACGCTCACACAGCAGGTCACACACACACAGCAGGTCACACACACGCAGTGGGTTATACTCACACAGCAGGTCACGCTCACGCAGCAGGTTACACACACACAGCAGGTCACACACACGCAGTGGGTTATACTCACGCAGCAGGTCACGCTCACGCAGCAGGTTACACACACACAGCACAGGGACAGGGCAGGCACGTCATAAGCACAGAGCAAGTGCTGGCTCTGGTTGCTGTTCAGGATGGGGAGCCTGGAATCCAGGGGAATTGTCCTGATGGAGTGGGCTCTGGGGTGGAATCCCAGGCCTGCCCCTGGGGTCCCGGGTGACCTGGAGCAAGGGACTTGGCCTATTCAGGACTAACAATAATGACCCCACCTCATGAGCAGGGCAGGATCATGGTTTCTGTTCTGCGCAGGTTCAGGAGGAGCTGGCCACACCACGGGGGTGATGCGTTGAATTCAGCTCCCTCACCCCCAAAGCCAGCTCTAGGCGGCTCACCACCGAACATGTCAGAAAGGATTAAAGACGCTGGCTGTGTCCTCTTCTGGAGTTTAGGAGCCTCCCAGCAAGTACCGGCGTGGGGGTGGATACCAGGAAGAAGCCCAAGGCAGTGGCCAGGACACTCAACCTCTAGGGTGCCAAGTGATGTTGCATGTTTACAGAAAACCCTGCTGCGTGCGTGGCAGAAACGTTCCCCAAGGAGAGGATGCACCCACGAGATTGCGGAGAGCAGTCAGTCCTTTAATTCAGGTCAGGCTCTGACACCTGGGGGCACAGGGTTCTGCCCATCCTGCCCTGAGGTGGAACCCCCAGCTGCTCCTGGGCACAGGATCATTTACAAAAATAAATATGAAAAAAGCAGCAACTCTTTAGTGATCATGGAATTATCTGACAGCAATGAAATGTGTTTAAGCATCTGGCATATCTCCTAAACTGCACCAAAAGAATTTGGAAGCACTTGGTTTGGTCTCAAAGGCAAAAGGAAAGAACAAGGAAGGGGCCCGCCTCCCGCCAGGCCCCGCCGCCCTCACATTTCAGAATCTGCGTACATCCCGTTGATTAAGTAGTCCACCTGGGTGTAGTCCTTCTTCTTGTAGCTCTCATAGGCTTGCAGGGCAAACAAAACCAAGACTGTGATGAACAGGGTCACCCCGAGTAAGAGCACCACCAGGAGGAATGTTTTGTCCACCACAGCCTGGGTGAGGGGCTCGGTAGTGACCACCAGGTACTGGTCTTGGGTGCTGGGCTGGCATGAGTCCGTGGCTGGCATCTTGGGGTCCCCTGAGCTCCTGGGTGTTGGCGCAGGGGCTTTAGTCTCTACCTGCTCTGGTGCCTGGGGTGTGCGTGGCCCAGTGGCCCCTGGGGTAGATGGCGTGGGGCTTGGCTGTGTTGTGAGGGACGTGGCCTCCACCTCAGACACTGGGCTAATGTGAGGTGCTGGCACTGTGCTGGCAGTTGGCTCCTTGGATTGTGGCTTGGGGGTGGTCACCACTGTGGGGGACACCAAAGCCACAGAGTGGGTGGTAGTGGGCTCTGGAGATGTGTTTGAGGGCGGTATGGATCTATCTGTTGTGTTAACCACGGGCTGATCCACTGACACCTGGCGAGTGGGACCTTGTGCTTGGGGATGTGTAGCGGGTGTAGGGCTTGCCATGGTGTCACTGGTCATGTACTCAGAAGGACTGGGAGTGCTCATGGGTCTGCTTGTGTTTGCTCTGGTAGCTACAGTCTGAGCACGTGTGGCCATTGTGGCCAGGGCTGCTGTTCTTGGCGACGAGCTGCTACTTGGCACTTGTACGAGGGCTGTGCTGAGAGATGGGTGCCCGGCAGCGGTAGTAGATGGGGTCTGCCCTGCGAACAGGGACGTGGGCCCAGGCGGTGTGAGCGTCGTGGGAATGCTGGAGGCAGCAGACCTGGAAGTGCTGGAAGCCACAGTTGTGGGAGCGCTGGAGGCCGCAGACCTGGAAGTGCTGGAGGCCGCAGTCGTGGGAGCGCTGGAGGCCACACCATCAGCTGCGCCTCCTGAAGTTACTGGTTCACCCACATCTGTCCTGCTTGTGTCCTCTGGTGTGTCTTCCGTAGAGTTGAGGGGGGCTACGGAAGTCCCTTTAGTCAACGTGACAGGAGATGCTGCCATGGTTATACCCACAGACGTTTTATTATCAAGTGTTTCCACAGATGCATTCCTCTTCACTAATCCATGCCACGTCTTGTTAGGGACAAAGTTGCCTTAAAGTCAGAAAAAAGAGAGAATCATGTTCAATCACGGGCAGGGGGATTGCTCGGGGATCGGCTTCTACCCAGGCCTGCAGGCTGGCTCTGTGGGGCCCCCTCCTCAGCCCAGCTGGAGCCAGGGGAGGTGACGCATGAACGTGCTTCCTCCCCATCTTTCTTCCCATGGTTGGCATGCAGCCCTTTGAAAAAGCCCTTGTCAATTTGATTTTAAAATTTCTTTGCCCTCTCTGAACCCCCTGCCCATTGAAGGCTTCAGAGCTGCACTATTTGATCCAATTCCCAAAACATCTGAGTAAAAGTCTCACACAACAGGTATGATTTACCACTAAAAGCCCACTGAACGCACGGCAGGTTTACAAAGCAAAGGAGCTGTCGCACAGATATTCACTTCGTAAAAGAATGTCTGGCTTTGTGGAAGGATCCACTGCAGGAATTCTTGGAAATGAATGGCACAGAGTGGGAACGCAGCTAGAGGTCTGATGCATGAAGGAACCAACTCCCCAGTGAAGATTCAATTTAGAGATGACATCAAATCTTGCAGGCCAAGCAAGCAAACTTTTCAGGGCTCAGCTGCCTCGTCCTGCTGGGGGCTCCTTGCCCACCAAGACCCTGGAGAAGGAAGCTTGGCCTAACCCTTCCCCACCCAGCACTTGGGAGGGCTGGGGTTCCTGACACATTGGCCTGGGTTTGCAGACGCTGCTTTTATGGGCTCAGCACGCTTTGTGGCTACCGTGGGCCCGTCCAGCAGTCACACAGCTTTCTCACTTACGTGGATTGTTGGATGCCGCATGGCTTTCAGTTAAGGACAAGGAGAAAATCCAAATGAGCACAAGAGCTGTCCACATCTTGCAGATGAGCTGGAAGCAAGGCTGGGCAGTCCCTGAGGCTCCCAGCCAGCCAGCTCCTCAGGCTGCTAATGGTTCCCTCCTGCTTGGCCAAGGGATCTGTGGTCAAGAAAGCATGCTGGTCAGAAGGCTTCTGGCCAGCAACATACAGCCTTGCCTGAGAGCACCTGCTGTGGAGGCTCTGGCAGGGTCCAAAGTGCAGACTGAGCCAAGTACTGAAACCAGTGCCCAGGAAGACCTGAGGCATGGTGTAGTGATGATCTGCCCTGTGCTTTGCAACTGATCACTTCTTGACCCGATTTCACTGTGAATCTCAACCTGCAAAAGTTCCCATTCTCCCATCCTAGAGTTCAGCGTTTAAAAGAGCAGGAGAGAGGGCTAAGACTTGGCTGTGTTCATAGGTAAAGGCCTTCTCATCACCAAGACCAGTCAAGTCTTCCTCCTCAACTTCTCCTACAGTCTGCAGATTACAAATCAAGCCTAATGCACCACATGTGCACCCTGTGACAGGTGACTGTGCCTTTCACATGGGAGATACTATTTGGCCATCTATCCATCCATCCATCCACCCACTATTCTATCCATCTACTCATCTGTCCCTACATAAGTCCATCCATCCACCCACCCACCCATCTATCTACTTTTCTATCCATCTACTCATCTGTCCATCCATAAGTCCATCCATCCATCCACCCATCCACCCACCCACCCGTCCATCCATTCACCCACCCACCCACCCGTCCATCCATCCACTCACCCACCCATCCACCCACACGTCCATCCATCCACCCACCTGTCCATCCATCCACCCACCCATTCTTTCATCCAATATTTACTGAGTGCTTACTCATGTGCCAGGCAGTACACTTAGGACAAAAAGATAAAAAACACACACCCTCTTCTCCAGGGGCCTGCAGTCCTGGAGAAAAGAGGTGACTGAAGGCTGGCACATGCATTGCACAGAGTGTGACTCAGTGACAGGAAGCAGGGAGGAGACGGCGTGTGGGGAGGCCTTGAAGAGTTAGATAGGCTGGTTCTCTGGACAGAGGCCCCAAGGATGGCTGGGCCCCAGAGGACAGGGTGCCACGGGGGCCCAGAGGACACAGTTCAACCCGTGGTGGTGTGGTGGGCATGCCAAGGAAGGCTTCCTGGAAAGCGACACCTGGGCTGTGTTCTGGGTATGGATCCACGTGGTGGAGGTGGGCAGGCAGGTGGAGAGGGAGCAGCAGATGACGACAGCAGGGTAAGAGGCAAGTAAGAGCATGGTGAGATGGCGATTAGTCCGGAGAACACTAGGAGGTCCAGGAGCCACCTGGCAGTTTGGATTTCATGGTAGGGGGATGGGAGTCCCTACAGGGCCTTAGGCAAGAACAGGAAGGTGCTTTTAGCGAGAGGGGAGGTGGGGCAGCCAGTGAGGGGCAGCAATCCTGGCACCTAACACAGAGGGTGTCTCTCAGTGAAGGAAAGCGTGAGTGAAAGAGAACGAGAGACTTCCCCTCTTCAGAGACTGCAGTGGTCTCCACAGCTGCCCCAAATTGCTATAATTTGCCTCTCCTTCATTCTAATGCTCCACAGAAGCGATGTGGAAGCCTTGACACATTTTTATTTTAGTTTTTTGAGATGGGTCTCACTCTGCTGCCCAGGCTAGAGCACAGCGGGACGACTGTACCTCACTACAGTTTTGACCTCCCAGGCTCCAGTGATCCTCCCACCTCAGTGGGTTCACAGGTGTATGCACCGCACCTGGCTATACTTTCTGTTTGCTTGTTTGGTTGGTTTTTGGTAGAGACAGGGTTCTCTCTCGGTTGCCCAGGGCGGTCTCCAACTTCTCAGCTAAAGCAATCCTCTCGCCTTGGCCTCCAAAGTGTTGGGATTACAGGCATGAGCTACTGCGCCCGGCCCTTAATATATAAAAAAAAAGTGATTTGGTTTGGTTGATTCATTATTTTAGATAAAATAATGGAAACAGCCACGAGGAAAGCAGCCCGTAGCAGCAGCCCGCAGCAAGGTGGGGCCCCAGCTGTACAGCTACAGGCACACTGGGTCTTGGGGTGCTGGGTGAGCTGCCCCTTGGTCACTCAGGGATGAAGGAGCCACTGAGTGCACGTCTGGCAGGAGCTGCCTTTTAGCTCTTTCAGCGTTCACTGCCGTTCCCTTGAGGAAGCTACAACAATAGGGACAAGGGCCACACAGGGGAGTGGGAGACCAGCAGTACACGCAGCAGCCAACAGCACTGCCTGGGTTCCAACCCCAGCTTCCAAGCTCACTAACCAAGTGACGTGCGCAGCCACAGGACCTCTGAGCCCCGCTGAGCTGCATGAGAGCGACATGGGATCATCCAGGCAAGGACCTAGCGTGGCGCCTGGCTTAGTCAGCGGCCCACCCAAGAAGCACTTCCAGCTGCAAAAGCAGCAACTCTGCAACAAAAGCCCCTGGGTGGCTTTCTGTCTCCCGTAATCCACGGGGACTGCTGTGAAGCTGCTCCAGGGCTGGAGAAAGGCCTTTGAGCACACACTTCTCTGGAAGGCTGCTCTGTTCCATGAGACTTCCAGTCTGTTTCCAAGAGTCACTAACTTTTTTCTAGCTTCAAATGGTGCTTTCTCTTCAAAATGGTCTGTAAGGGTTTCTGATGAGTTACGGGTTTAGAAAAGTTACTTGGTCTTATGAACCACAGATCTAGAGTGCAAAAAGCATTCTTTGTTCTGTCAGAAAACAAGCTGGAGCGGGGGATGGGGAGAGAAGAAACTGACCAACGTCAGGCAGGGCAGAACTGAAACTGGAAGGTTTCGGCACACAGAACTCACAGTCCTCCATGGGCAAGGCAGTGCAGCTGGGCTTCTGACAAACATGCGTCTTTAAACGGCTCTCTCTTGGGCTAGTAACATCTACTATACCCTTAAAATGCTCCCGCCCTGGGTTCCAGATGCTCCCCAGGCCTGAGCCCAGGATTTGAAGTCCTCTGGGTGAGTTAAAGGTGAGACGACATGGCAGGGGTTTCTTATGGGTGGAGGGTCTTGGCTCCTGAATGTACCCCAGGCCTGGGCCTTCTGCTGCCCCTCACTACAAATCTCTAGGGCAGTGGTCAGCACACTTTCTCTACATAGGACAGGATGGCAAATATTTGCAACTTGTGGACCATTCAGTCTGTGCTTTAGCTACTCAATCTGCTATTATAATATAGAGGCAGCCCTGAAATAGATATGAATGGTGGCATGGCTGTGTCCCAATAAAACTTTATACAAACAGGCAGTAGGTAGGATTTGGCCACAACTTGCCAGCCCCTGTTCTAGAATGTCAGCCAGCTTCACAGCTGGTGTTCCAGCTACAGCAGGGAGGATTAGACTCAATCTACTGAATGAACCTCCTCCTTCCCGTCTTCCTGTCCATTTCCTTGCCTTAAAACAGACAAGGACCTTCTCCTTCCTGGGCGGGGACAGCCTCTCATCTTCTGCTAAGAGGCACTCCTCCATCATTCTGCATCAGTGAGGCGCAGCCTCCCTGCAGCACAGAGGAGGCTGCTGTGAGTGCCACGGCATCACCAAGGTCAGGGAGAACCTATCGAGGTAACTTGCATTTGTGTCACAAAGCTGAAGAGGGTTGCAGGGGATCGCGTGATTCCGATGCTGTCCATGGGCCACCACCCCAGTCCACTCAGAAGACAAGGCCACCTGGCCAGACGCAATGACTCATGCCTCATACTGGCACTCAGGGAGGCCGAGGCAGTGGGTGGGTTGAGCTCACAAGTCAGAGACCCGCCTGGGAAACATGGCAAAACCCCATCTCTACAAAAAACACCGAAATTGGCCGGGCGTGGTGGTGTGCATCTGTAGTCCTAGCTACTCGAGAGGCGGAGGTTGGGAGGATGGCTTGAACCTCGGAGGCAGAAGTTGTAGTAAGCCAAGATTGTACCACTGCACTGCAGCCTGGACAACAGAACCAGACCTTGTCTAAAAAAATTTTTAAAAAAAGGGAGGCAGGGCCTCTCTGACAGTTAAGGGCCATAGACTGAGCCTCCCTTGGTCACAATAAGGCTTGGCTGTCTTTCCTTTTCCCTTGACCCTCTGGTGACCCTGCAAAGCTCCCTCTGGGCTCACTGTCCCATCACCCAACAGGCAGGCCCAGCCTGAAGGATCTAGATACTCACCAGAGGCTGCTGCTAAGGGCATGCTCCCAGCCTGCAGGGTCTAGATACTCACCAGAGGCTGCTGCTAAGGGCATGCTCCCAGCCTGGGCCATCTTTCTCCTTGGAGAGCTGTGGGCTTGGCACTGTGTTGTCGGGTAAGATCTGGCTTTGCAGGGGGTGAAAGCCACGTGGTGGGGCACTCCTGGGCCATGCCATCCTTTGTGGCACATGTGAGACGAAGGTAGACTCTCCGCTCCGGGAACAGACGCATCTAGGGATTGAAAAAAAGTCCACATTTCTTAGGAAAGGCATAGGGGGAAATTCCGTGAGGAGGGAGGCACAGAAAGAACAGCATTCAATAGGTCATTCATTATACTGGGAAAACAACAACATGGATCAAAGCTTTCAATGTCAAAACTTCTGATGCAGGAGACCCGCTTGAACCCAGGAGGCGGAGGTTGCAGTGAGCCAAGATTGCGCCATTGCACTCTAGCCTGGGCGACAAGAGCGAAACTCTGTGTCAAACAAACAAACAAACAAACACAAACTTCTGACGCAGCAACTTCTACTGCAGTGTCTTGTAAGGAAGCACTCAGACAGATGTCCAAAGATGCTTTACAGAGATACTTCTCACAGCATCATTTAGAAGGAGCAAAACACTGGAATACTTCTGTAAAGTATGGCCCCATTCATAGATAAAATACCAAGGCAACTGTTAAAAATACACACATTTCTACTTATTGATGGGAGCTACAGCATGCATCAACAGATGAACAAGGCAGGTTACCCAGAAGCGGGTGCACCACCATCCTAATTTGTTAAGAGACGTTTATTCAAGGGTCTGGAATGATTTGAACTATAATGTTAATGGTTATCCCTGGGGAATGGATTCGCCTGTGATTTTTATTCTCTACTTCATATCTTTTTTTTTTTTTAAACAAGCATGTGGGCCGGGCGTGGTGGCTCAAGCCTGTAATCCCAGCACTTCGGGAGGCCGAGGCGGGTGGATCACAAGGTCAAGAGATCGAGACCATCCTGGTCAACATGGTGAAACCCCGTCTCTACTAAAAATACAAAAAATTAGCTGGGCATGGTGGCACGTGCCTGTAATCCCAGCTACTCGGGAGGCTGAGGCAGGAGAATTGCCTGAACCCAGGAGGCGGAGGTTGCGGTGAGCCGAGATCGCGCCATTGCACTCCAGCCTGGGCAACAAGAGCGAAACTCCGTCTCAAAAAAAAGAAAAACAAAAAAACAAGCATGTATCACTTTTGGAAAACAATTCTGAAAGGCTCCAAGGAAAGAAAACAGCTTATTTTCTTCAAGTACTTTAAGCCACTAAGCAGAAAGGCACAGAGTTGTCCCACCTGATACAGTGTCACACATTGATTTCGTAATTTAGAGACTACATGATCTACATACCAGGAGGGACATTGTCCTTGGAGCTAACCGGCGTACGGCCATAATGAAAGACGTTCACCAGCACGAATTCTTCCCTCATTTATGAATATTTAAGGAGAACGCAGATTACAGAAACAGCTCGCCCCCTCCTATCCCGGGCAGGTATCGGTAGGTGGTGATACCAAGGACCACCACCGGCCTGCTCCCAACACAGGCGCCCACGTGTGCACACAGGCAGTCACACACACTTGTGTGCATACAGCTCCACGCATGTCCATCTGCACAGGTACACGTGCACACACATACACATGCAAAGTCACACACACAAAGGTGAGAGCACACACGCAGAGCATGTTCACAAGGCTATCTCAGGACACTCACGGGTTTCTCAGGAAACTTCCGCTGGACACCGTCATCGCTTACTCCCTCCCAGCCAGTAGGGCTGGTGGTCACTCCCACAGAAACAGGAATTGGCCACTGTGTAGTCACGAACAGGCCTGCATTGAACTGTGACTTCATCCCTCTGCTATGGTCCTGGCTCCACTTTCCAAAAGAATATTCTAAATGTCAAGATCCCATGTGGGGACCCGTGGTCATCTTTATAAGTTGACTCACGATGGACAAACCATTAACAACATTCAAAAAACTGTTTCCCCTGCAAGGACTTCTGGCTGAAATTAGGGTAGGGGGTCTTGGGACCCATCCAGTTATTCTCATTATTATCTGGTACAGGGAGACTGGGTAGATCAAGGTCTCAGACCACAACAGATGGAGAAAAAGAGACCCCAGGGGCAAGAGGGGAATGAGCAAGAGAGAATGAAGTTTGTATTAAGTTGGAGACCAGGCTAGATGGAGAGACGGAAGGTTAGGCTGGCACTGGGCGTTCCCTTCTTCAGGAATCAGCTCCCTATGGGATCTGCAAGGAAGGTGCAGCAGGGCACTCCCTTAAGGCAGGTGACACTCCATGAGAAAGGCACCCCCAGACTGTGCCCCTGTGTGTCAACTTCCCTATCCTTTTCTGGTTCGTGACCTTGAGCTGCCTCCCAAGGCATCTGGTCTGAATTCTTGTGTTCCCAACCTTGGCTTGTTATATGTAGTGCATTTTATGCAAGTTACACACAACTGGACTGCAGGCACGGCGCTGCATGACTGTAATCCCAGATACTCAAGGGGCTGAGGTAGGAGGACTGCTTAAGCCCAGAAGTTTGAGTTCAGCCTGGGCAACACAGTGAGACCCCCATCTCAAAAAAATAAAAAAGGAAAAGAAATAGCTTAATTCCTTTTGCTGACATAGAGAGGTTCCAAAGACCCAACACAAGCAATCCTGACGCTTAGTAAAGGACCACAGCAGTTACCCCCACATTCTATCGGGCAATATATTAAGACTCACTCAGCAGCAACATGGCCAGGTCCCCACTCCAAGTTAGGCAAACTACAGATACCAAGGAGTAGGAACTGCAGATACAGGACAAACCGAAGGCACCTAACCGTGACACGTCGCCTCGCTGAACTTTGGCAGCAGAAGCCCAAGGAACACAGACCTATGGCTTTGTGTATATAGACATTGTCCTGTAGTTCAAAGGACGTGACTCCGTGGCAGATGGGAACCTTGATCATTGGATATTTATTACATTACGTTAACTACACTGCCTGCTTCCCGGTTTCTGGAAGTTTCGGTAACACAGCTGAATGCTAGGGCCTAGTTTTTGCTGATAACGTGCGTAGCTCTGACATTCCGATCCGTTTTATAAATGGAAAAATTTGTATTTCAAATATTTCCCTTGCTGATTTTATTAAAAATTTTAGAGATTTTTCCTGGAACAAGGGATAGCTGCAAGTTGTTAAAATCAGATTTCGAAGCATGATGATTATTTCTCGTGGCAAACCACGCATGAGGAGGCCGATCCCCCTATCAGCCTAAAGGTTCCGTGCACATCCGAAGCAGCCACACGAGGGAAGCAGGCGGGGAGACAGATGGGCAGGGGAGGGCATTTGGGGGAACGCACAGCCTCCGCCCAGGGAGGCAGAGGGTCTGCGGGATGGGTCCGGGTCACTCAGCTCTCCTTCTTGGGGTCCAGTCCCCGCCTGGACTCTTCCAGGAAAGACGCCCGGGTAAATGCGCCCCCCCATACGAGTGTCCCCATTCTGCTTCCAAAATGGGACAAGGGGACCTCTTCTCCAGTCGGGGAGCCCCTCCAGCCCTCCTGCCTCCTCCCGGGCCCCCAGCTGACTCCTCCCGTTTCCTCCTCTCTCTCACCCGCATTCCTCAGCGCCTCGCACTCTGTGCGCGCCCCTCCGCCGCCCCAGCCTCTGTCAGCCCCACTCACTCTCCCTGCCCCTCGTGCCCCATCCAACCCTCCTCCCGCCCGCCACCTCTGTCTCTCAGTCCCAAGACGATCAGGGAGCCCTGACAGCAGCTCCCCGGGCTGCGGCGCGAGCTCCTTACCCGGGCGCGGGAGGCCCGCGGCGGCCCGGCGGCCCTCAAACCGCAGGAAGGAGCCCGAGACCGGGCGCGGGGACGTGGCCGGCACCTCAGCCCAGGCAGCTCCAGGCAGCTCCAGGCAGCGCGCCCTGCTCGGGCTCCGCCCAAGCTCCGGAAATGACGTCACGAGGGGCAGGGCTGACGGCCTGGCCGGGGCGGGGGCTGCGGCGGAGCCTGTCGCGAACGCCAGCGAGACGGAAGGGGGCGGGGGGGGGGGTGTCTGCGCTCAGGCCCCGCCTCCCCGGGGCCGGCTCGGGCCACGTCTTACGCGCCGCCAGAAAGAGCTATTCTGAGCAGGTCTGTGGCGGAAGTGGGCGTTCCCGGGGCTCGGCTGCCCAGCTGTGCCAGCTGCGGTCTTGGGGTCCCAGGATGCCCGGGTTGGGCTGGGTGAGCTCAGACGCACCTCGTCGGCGGCCGAGCCTGAAGAGGCGACCTCGAAACGCCTGTTGAGACCTTTCGCGGGCACACGCCCTTCGCGTTCCTCCGCTACCTGCCTGGTTTCTCCAGCCCCTGGCGGGGCGCTGGGGTGCCGGAGAGTTAGAGTCAGGATGGCAGCCAGCGTTTCTGTGCACCCGCAGCGTGCCACGCCCGTGCTAAGCACTTTGCCTTCGGGTCCAGTGGCTTAATTCTGCAATAGCACGGGGAAGAGCTTCGCCCCATTCTACAGACGCGGAAACACTCTGATCATGTGCTCTGTGGTTGTCAGACCTGGGATGACAGGAGCAAAATGCAACATAGTGGGAAGCGTGTGGGGCCTGACTTTAGTTCGAAATAGGCTTTGCAGGCCGGGCGTGGCGGCGTGCGCCTGTAGTCCCAGCTACTCGGGAGGCTGAGGCAGGAGAATTGCTTGAACCCGGGAGGCTGAGGCTGCAGTGAGCTGAGATCGTGCCACTGCACTCCGGCCTGGGCGACAGAGCAAGACTGTCTAAAAAAAAAAAAAAAAGACTGTGGCTCTCTGTGTTTTCATTTCCTCTTTGGCAACATAGGGACTTTTTTTGTTTGTTTGTTTGTTTGTTTTTTGAGATAGAGTCTCACTGGGGTTTCACCATATTGGACAGGCTCGTTTTGAACTCCTGACCTCATGATCCATCTGCCTCAACCTCCCAAAGTGCTGGAATTACAGTGTGAACCACTGCACCGGGCCATAGGGACAATTTTTACTGCTGGGGCTGAAATTAAAAAGATAAGAAACAGCTCCTCTTTTCTCTAGAGCAGCTGGGCAGCTGGCCCCCCATCTGCTCTCATAAACAAAGATCTGTTGGAACAGACTCATGCCTCTTCATTAGGTATTGTCTGTGGCTGCCTTTTTGATAAAAGGCCACAGTCGACTAGTTGTAGCAGACTATACGGCTCACAAGTCCTAAAATATTTACTTCACAGAAAATGTTTGCTGATCTCCAGTCTAGAGTGTTACTGATGGGTTTCTGACAACAGAAGTATCTGGCTGAGATGGTCCAACACACAGGGAAACAGCCTCTTCCATGGGAAACTCATATTCTCTGATAGCATCTTTGGGGTCACCGGAAACCTAGTGTCCGTCCAAGGCAAGGCTCTGGGAACTGCATAACTGTTCTGTGGAGTTAATCACGGAGAGTAAAACCGAACAGACCAGCTGCTTCTGAGGCCCGTGGATAAAATGGAGAAGGATACACCTATATCCTACACCTTTTGTCTTGGGGCACAGATCATTGCAGGTGCTTTCGGTGCAGAAATAGCTGAATAAACTCAGCATGTGCCTGTAGTCCCAGCTATTCGGGAGGCTGAGACAGCTCCCAGCTATTCAGAGTTGAATTGACAGTGTTATTTGAGTGTAAGACCTTTCGAGAGACCACATTTGAAAGTTAGGGTTCTGGAAGCCGGGCACGGTGGCTCACGCCTGTAATCCCAGTACTTTGGGAGGCCAAGGTGGGTGGATCACAAGGTCAGGAGATCGAGACCAACCTGGCCAACAGTGAAACCTCATCTCTGCTAAAAGGCAAAAAGCCGGGCGTGGTGGCATGCGCCTGTAATCCCAGCTACTTGGGAGGCTGAGGCAGGGGAATCGCTTGACCCCAGGAGGCGGAGGTTGCAGTGAGCCGAGATGACGCCACTGCACTTCAATCTGGTGACAGAGCAAGACTACTCCATCTCAAAAAGAAAAGAAAGTTAGGGCTCTAGAATGACACTGCCTAACTTCAAATCCTGACTCCTTCGCTTTTTTGCTGAGTGACAAACATGAGGCTTAGGCTCTGTACCTCAGTTTTGTCATAGTCAATTCTGGTATTTGCCGTAGTTATGTTGAATAAAGTCACCCCGTACACAGACAGTGAATACTGCTCCTTGGAAACCACAGCTCCTAGGGAGGATACAGGGCGAGGTTCCTGTGAGCCTCTGGTCACAACATTTTTATCAACCGATCAATACATTGTTTTTTTGTGTGTTTCTGTTTAAAGATGCCTTACTGAGGCCAGATGCAGTGGCGCAAGCCTGTAATTCCACCACTTTGGGAGGCCGAGGTGGGTGGATCATCTGAGATCAGGAGTTCAAGACCAGCCTGGCCAACATGATGGAACCCCATCTCCACTAAAAATACAAAAATTAGCCAGCCATGGTGGCACACACCTATTGTCCCAGCTACTTGGGAGGCTGAGGCAGGAGAATCTCTTGAACCTGGGAGGTGGAGGCTGCAGTGAGCTAAGATCGTGCCATTGTACTCTAGCCTGGGCAACAGCAAGATTCCATCTCGAGCAAATCAAACTAAAAACAAACAGAAAGAAGCCTTATTTAATGTCTATTCCTGACTCGTTCACACTGAAAATGAGACAGCAATAATACAGGGTGGTCACAGGAGAATTAAATTCCAGGCAGCAGTTTCACATGACTAGAGGCCATGGTCTGCTAAGACCCTGAAAAACCAAGGTATGAGCCAAGCTGGCTAAGACCAGCCGGACCCAACGTGGCGCTGGGTTTGACCTAGGCTTCCCCTAGGACCTGATTATGTGCTCATTAACATACTAAACACACAACCACCAGCACCACGACAGTCCCAGGAACACTCATATTTGGCACAAAAATGGGTGACACCACTGTTCCAAGAAATATTCACCTTGTCCCAGGAATTTTCATGAATATTCCACATCTTGATTAAAGCAACCCATGAAGGTAGAACCCCCAAACCATTGCTAGACTCTCTCTTGAGGAGGCCCGTGATCCTCTGTCTTGAGTATGCACTTTGTACTTTGTAATAAATCTCTGTACTTTCACTGTTTTCTGACTGATCCTTGAATTCCTTTTCGCAGTGATGTCAAGAGCCTGGGGTCAAGGACCCACCTGCGTTTGGGCACCTCCCCAGCCCAGTGATATCAAACCCACAGACAACAGCATGTAACTCATGCCTGAATAAAGCACATCTAACACGTATTTTCTCCCTAAGGCAGCGCACAGCCTTTTGCACTGAGGAACACTAGATAATACTTTAATCTTATGTGCGAGGGGCCATTTAAAAATGCAAAATTGGCTCAGCGCGGTGGCTCGTGCCTGTAATCCCAGCACTTTGGGAGGCCAAGGCAGGTGGATCACCCAAGGTTGTGAGTTTGAGACCAGTCTGGCCAACATGGTGAAACACCGTCTCTACTTAAAATACAAAAATTAGCTGGGCGTGGTGGCATGCACCTGTAATCCCAGCTACTCGGGAGGCTGAGACAGGAGAATCACGTGAATCGAGGAGGTGGAGGTTGCAATGAGCTGAGATCACGCCATTGCACTCCAGCCTGGGCAACAAGAGCAAAACTCCATCTCAAAATAAAATAAAATAAAATAAAGCAAAATCCCCACCAAAAAAAGCAAAAAAATTCAAAAATGTGTCGCTAAACAGACCAAGAAAAGGACACTTGTTTACAGTAGACTAGCAGAAAGGAGGGCAGAGAGAGTGCCTTTGCTGGGTCTCAGCCAGGGACTCCAGCACAGGGTGACTGGGATTTTCCCCCACTCCAGGCACATGGCACGTGCAGGCTTCAGATGGCTTCAGAAGCACTGCAGGTATTGATTTGTGTGTGTGTGTGTGGGGGGGGGGTTACATATACATTTTAGCTACTAAGTGAATTTGCAAATGTGGAATCTATGAATCATGAGAATCAACTGTAGGCTAAAATGGAGGAGTAATAGGGCCTACCTCATCAGATGGTTATGGGAATTCAATGATATATAAGTGCATGTAAATTGCTCATAATGGGGCATTACACAGAGAGGACTGAATAAATATTAGCCACTGTTTTGTTTTTGTTTTTGTGACAGAGTCTCGCTCTGCCGCCCAGGCTGGTTTGCAGTGGCTCTATCTTGGCTTACTGTAACCTCTGACCCTTGGGTTCATGTGATTCTCCTGCGTCAGCCTTACTAGTAGCTGGGAAGGTACAGGTGTGCGCTACCACACCCAGCTAATTTTTGTATTTTTAGTAGAGACAGGGTTTCGCCATGTTGGCCAGGCTGGTCTCGAACTCCTGATCTCAGGTGATCCACATGCTTCGACCTCCCAAAGTGTTGGAATTACAGGAGTGAGCCACCGCACCCAGCCCCATTGTTACTATTATTGATTACAAAAGAGGAGGACTCTGGTTTTTGGAAGAGGGTTCTCTAGAGGTTCGGAACGACTTGAAGTCCCTGAGTCCCAAACCATTCCAAACCCCTCCCCGGTGCCGCCCCTGTCACACCAGGCAGAAGCCTTTCCCTTGTCAAGGAAAACTCTCTCCCTCTGGAAAGAGCTGTTCTCTGTCATTAAAGGGAGTTCCCTTTCAGGAGGAAGCCAATACTCCCCTTCACGCTCCACGCTCTATTGTCATTATCTGAAAATAGAAGGTTTGTTATTTATTTATTTATTTTTGAGACGGAGTTTCGCTCTTGTTACCCAGGCTGGAGTGCAATGG